ATTTTCACAGATTATGCAGCCCTTAAGTACCTTCTTACAAAGAAGGATGATAAGGCACGACTAATACGATGGATTTTACTTTTGCAAGAATTTGACATCACCATCAAAGATAAGAAATGAGTGAAAAACGTAGTGGCTGACCATTTCTCGAGGCTCACATTTGAGGATACCTCTGACCATCTACCAATCAAGGATGATTTTCCCGATGAATATTTACTTTCTGTTACTTCTCTACCATGGTTTGCTCATATTATGAATTATTTGGCTGCAGGTGAGATACCGGTGGATTGGAGCGCTCAGGACAAGAGAAAATTCATAACTGAGGTACGAAATTTCTATTGGAATGACCCTTTTCTTTTCAAATATTGTCCTGATCAAATTTTAAGGCATTGCATCCCTAATAAGGAGATTGCCAGCATCTTGGAATTTTGTCACTTCCAAGCTTGTGGGGGCCACTTTTCAATGAAGAAAACCGCTGTAAATATTCTGCAGTGCGGATTTTATTGGCCCACCTTGTTTAAGGATGCAAACATCTATTGTCGCTCATGTGAAAAGTGTCAAAACTTAGGAGTTATGTCCTATCGTAATATGATGCCCTTAAACCCAATTTTAGTGATTGAAATTTTTGATTGTTAGGGCATTGATTTTATGGGACTATTTTCTCTTTCTTTTGGATATCAATATATTATTGTGGCAATAGATTATGTGTCAAAATGGGTAGAAGCAGCATCTTGCAGGAGCAACGATAATAAGACGGTAATTAAATTCTCAAAGAGTATGTGTTATCTCGATTTGGTATACCACGTGCTATCATTAGTGACCGAGGTACTCATTTTTGTAACTGTTCTTTTGAGGCTTTAATGAAAAAATATGGAGTGATACATAAGATCTCTACTGCCTACCACCCTCAGACGAGTGGACAGGTAGAACTTGCAAACAGGAAAATTAAGCAAATTTTAGAAAAAACGGTAAACCCGGATCGCAAGAATTGGTCTTTAAGACTAGTTGATGCGCTTTGGACCTACCGTACAACTTTCAAAACTACCTTAGACATGTCACCTTATAAGCTTGTTTTTGGAAAGTCTTGTCACTTACCTGTGGAGCTCAAATATCTTGCCTATTGGGCCATCAAACATTTCAATTTTGACATGGGAGAAACAGGTAAACTTAGAAAATTTCAGTTGACCGAATTAGAGGAGTTGAGAAATGATGCTTATGAGAACTCTAAAATCTATAAGGTTAAAATGAAAGCGTTTCATGATAAAAGTATTTTGAGAAAAACGTTTAAGTCTAATGATTGAGTGTTTTTATATGATTCTATACTCCATAAGCACCCTGAAAAACTTAGGTCTAGGTGGACCGGCTTTTTTATAGTGAATAATGTTTTTGCACATGGAGCGGTGAAAATAGAGAATCCTAAGGATGGTCAGATCTTTAAAGTAAATGGTCAATGAATTAAAATATTAATTGATAGGCAAGCTCCAGAAGTGGAAGATATTCCACTTGAGGATCCGATCTATCAACTTTGACCACAACACGCAGGTATGTTTTTCTTTATTTGTTTTGTTTGTTTTATTTTATTTTATTTTATTTTTATTTTTCCTTTTAGTTTGCTATTGTTTTCTTTGTTTTTATTAGCAAGTTAGTTTCATTTTGACATGTCAGGCTACCATCTTTGGTGCTTAACGAACTACCCACATCACTCATCAGGTGTATTCTACCCTTTTTAGTTACTCCTCATTCGAATTTGATTCTTAAACATTGAGGACAATGTTTCATTTAAGTTGGGGGGTGGATGGTGGTGCAAATTCAATATTTAAAATGCTTGTTCTTACTCTGTGACATATTTTCATGTGTGAAATATTTTTAATTCACACGTGCATCATTTTTACATGTGTACTTATTCTTATTCATAGCTATCTTTGTGAATTCTCAAAAACCATCATAATCAATTTTTTTTTCTGAAGCATTTACAGAACCTCTAATGTACTCATCCAAGCTTTGTGATAAGATGGTAGTTTGACACATGTAGCTAGAGAGCTCTTTTGCTTAAGTATTCATATGAGTTTTGGAGAGGAATGAAAGCCTACAACTACAATAAATTGTGATAAGCGTTCATTGATCTGTTGAACTGGGTACTTCTTTTGAAAATATCATTACATGGTTTGTGGTAAGATGATGGATATACTTGGAATATGACGAAGGTCAACTTAGGATTAACGTTGAGTCTTTCAAGCTAACCCTTTCCACATTAAACCTCTAGTAGCCAACTTTGAGCTAATAAACACATGTAGCCTTTTCTTTTCATATGCCTACATTATCCATACCTCTCCACATTAGAGTATAATCTATACACTGATTTTTCCTACCCTTGTTACTTTCAAATGTGTATTAGATATGGAAGTATTTTTTTTTTAAAAAAAATAAGGAGATAGAGAGAGAAAAGGGAAGAACATGAGTTACAAGGTATTCAAGTGAGTGAGTTTCAAAAAAAAAAAAGCCAAGGCTGGTTAGAAATAGCAAAATACCAGGGTGACATAATTGTTCACCAAATTACTTCAAAAAAAAAAAGGGCATTATTCGATGACTTGAAAGGTTGAAGAGTACATCAAGTGAGAAATATAGTTTATTGAAAGATTTAACAAGATTCTCTCTGTATGTACTTGAAAGTTTTTGAATCCTTTCCATTTTTTTTATATAGCCTCAAAACCTAAGCCACATTACAACCTTTTGTGTTGACCGTTCTGATCCTAAGTAAGATTTTGGGAAAGCATGGTGGAAGTCTCATTTGTTAGTTTTCCTATCATAAGATCAATGATTGTTTGTTGCTTGTACAAAATTGCCTAATTCCCCATGAGAGTGTGTGCACTCCCATTGTCAACTCCACAGAGAGAATCTCCACACGAAACACTTTTATACCCGTGAGTTATGGAGTTGAACCTTTTGCCTGAGATATTCTTAATGTTTCATGTGTCAGGATTTCTGATTAGATGGATATAGTTTGGAACACACACACACACACACACACACACACTGTGGATTGCTTGTGATGGGGTTACTGAATTCGTAAGATTGTTTTGATATGTGAATCTGGAAAGTGTGACTTGGTAGCCTTTGTGTGTGATATTCTTTAGTTTCTTTCATTGTTTCGGTATGAAAATTTGCTAGGGACTAGCAATGAGTAAGTTGGAGGGTGTGATAAGTGGACGAAAATGCATTTTAAATACTCTATTATTGGATTAAATTGCTGAAATATGAATATAAATAATTAGATATAATTTATATTATTGAATTTAATATCTATTCACACTGAGATATAATTGAGCATGATTTTATAACATTTTAAATCTTAAATATTACATTATTGGTTAGTGAGAAATAATTTACAATTGGACTTTACGTTTAATATTTTTGGGACTTTATTATTGGGCTTTTATATTTGTTTTTTTTTATGGCAGTCCATGGAATAAAAAGACTGAAATTGATGTTGCTGTCACGTGGGCCCGACACTTATAATTTTTATTAGACTTTATCTTCTTCAAATTACACAAACGTTGGGTTTTGGGGGCTGAAACAGAGAGCTGGCCTTTTAAGGGCTTTTCTCTGGTGTGTGGCAGCTGGAGAAGAAAAGAAAAAGAAAAGAGAAGGCGGCTGGGCAGAAGAAGACGGACGCCGATCAGGAGTATAAATAATTTCGATGGCTGCCAGTTTGTTTAATTTCTTTGGAAGATTTTTGTTGTCCATCATATTTATGGGTAACTAATTTCTCAAGTAAGGCTAGTGATGAACTTGCACAGTAGATAATATTTTATTTATTTTTAATTTATGCAGTTGATTTTTAATTACTAAAACTCTTTTGTTTTATCATTCTTAATTTATTGTTGATATTTTCTTCTACAAATAATCATAGAATTTATTCTGTTTATAGATTCAGTCATGCTTTTTCTATTGAATGGATTAATTTTTTGATTATGTTTGGACAAATTATTTATCTATATTGAATTAATTCTTTGCTGCAATATTGCTTTCTTGAGTATATTGTCGTCGTTAGATTTTTTCAATAGTGATAATAATTTACGTATTTTAAAAGTGGTGAATGATTTTTCAAAGGGTTATATTGGGTTTAATCTTGGTTTATAAATCTATATCTTCAGGTTGGAAATTTTGGGAATTAAATTCTCAATTGAGTTATTCAAAGAATTAAGAATAATTAAAATACTAGATTTGTGCAAGGGATTCCCGACGCTTTACTGTTTGTCAAATTTAAATACTTTTTCCATTAGTCACTTGTTTCACTTTAATTTGCATTTAAAATTAATCTTTATTATCTAGTAGTCATTTAATATTCTTCTTTAGTTTCTTTGTTAATTCTATTATTTTTTTAATTTGTCTTTCTATTGAATCAACACCCCAAAGTTGTGCTACAATTACCGCGTTATTCTTTGGGCGTAACCAAGTCATTTTTGAATTTGTTCACAAACTAAATTTCTGGTTTGAAAATTTTATTAGATCCGAATAAATTAATTTAACTAAAATTTAACAAATTATATTTAAATTTCAATTACAAATTTTCAAATAATTACTTTATTTCTTTAATATTTATATAAAATATATATTTTTTGTTTAATATTTATATACACATTTTTTTGGATCGAATAAGATATAAGTATATTGTAAAAGCCGAATTCTTGAAATATAAAAAAACAAATTTAAATTTGGGTTCAAATTATCAATAAAAAATATGAATTGATATCCAACTAATTAAATTTAAATTTGGATCAAAGTCTAATTCATTGACTTACCTAGCCATGAAGGTTGTTTGGATAATGTGAAAAAAAAAAAAAAAAAAGAATAATAATATGTTTATCAAATCATTTATTAAATTTTATATATTAAATTAATGTAGGTGGTTGGATGAATGAAATTTACTAACTCTGCTTAACATTTAATACATAAAATTTTGATACACCGTTTAGGATATATGATTTGTTAACTCGTCGAAGAGGGTAAGCACTTTGGCCGTGTTTTCTGCAATTTTGCTGGTAAGTGCTCATTACCTGAAGCACCGTTAGCTCCATTCCATAAACACATCTCTATTGTTTCTTTCTTCTCTCTACTCATTATCTAATCCTTTGTTTCACCTCTTCAGAGTGATTCAACACCGCAAACCGTCAGATTGTAAGAATTTGTGCATTTTTTTTACTGACTTATGCCCCATTTTGCTTCAGTTGTGTTGATTCTGTTTAGTTCTTGGGGGAAAAAAATGAGGTAATGAATGCCCGATAAAGCAAGTCATTTAGCTTTTAATGTAGTTGTTGTTGTTCTTAAGTATGCTCATCTTTCAGAGGTGTCTTTATGTTTGTATTTCGTTTTGAAACTGAGACAATTTGAACTGAAATTGTTGTATTCTTAGGGTTTAGTTTTTTGTATTTTGATTGTGGCATCATTGACTGAGGTTGAATAACCAATAGTGGGAGCTTTGTTTGGGCGAGGTTTGAGAGAGTTTCACTGATCCGGTTTGGGCTGATGTTTTATCGTATACTATGCTGATCTTTCGGCATTGCATGGCCGCTTGGATAGATATGCATACACTCTAAATTGTTGATCATCTTTCTGCCAGTTTCCCTTTTTTGTTGTGCTCAGCCTTTTCCCTGGTTGATTAGAAACACAGTCTTTGTTGCTTTGGTCTTTTTTGTTTCCGAAGTTCAAAATCAATGTCTATTGCTTGAGAAAAGCATCATGATACAAGCGCTTTGATCTACTATCGTATAAAGGCTCAATATATAAGAATATAAATAATCAAGTTAAAAATAGATTTGTGGTTTCATTGGAAGTTAGAAAATTCTGCTCCCGCTCACCAAATGTATGAGAATGGGATTTGTATCAATTCACTTTCAAATAGGGAAGATGTTGGTGTATATCTTGTAGCAAATGTTGGGTTGTCACAGTGATTGTTTTTATGTATGTTGTTGTTATACAGATACTTCATCAGAGTTTCTGTACTTTGATTTTGATCTTTTAACAAAAAAAAAATACTCTATTTTTAAATGGGAACTGTCTGATAAGAGTTCAGTTAGGTAGACTTTTGTGACAGTTGTCCACTTTTCAATGTTCCCCATGCTTGTCATATTTTGCTCATAAATTTTGAAGAACTAATAGCTTGCTTTATCCTTGTATCCTGATGGTTGCTATACATTGATGCCTTGATATATTTCTATATTGTATGGTTCTTTTCCAAATGCATGTATGGTGTTTGATTCTCTAAAAATTATAACTGTTTTGAACATGGATATGTGATGTCTTGGTAGCTTTCTTGATTAAGGTCCAACTTTTAATCTGAGACTGTGTGCAAGGAACATATCATTTTGTGAGGTTGCTACAGAATTCTATGCATCATGTCCCAAGTATAATGTCTTTCCACATTCTTTTCTCTAGGATCCTGTCTAGCACTAGGGTCTGCCATTCAATGCAAATCTTGGGTGCAAAAACCAGCAAAAAGGAAAGGTCTCCATAGTTCTATTTCCTTCTTTCCTTTTTTCTTCAACTCGGTGATGTGTGTTTTCTTTCTGATTTCCCTCAAGAAATTTGTAGCAAACGATTATGGTCAACACTGATTATAATGAACTGCAATTTTCCTTGTCTGCTTTTTTTTTTTTGAGTCGTAAGTGTGATAATTTTGTGCCCTTCTCTTTTTCAGGTCCTACTGAATTCTTATGCAAGTAACATTTTTAGTTCCTGTTCTGTGTCAGCATCCTCACGAATAATTGGAGTTCTGAATGTGTTTGTGAAGTACAAATTGTGCCATAGATACTCAGTTATGGGTGGGAATTCACTGGTGAATCTCAGTAATGGTGATGCACGTACACAGTCTGATCCCCAGAGGACATACCAAGTTGTGGTGGCTGCAACTCATAACATGGGCATTGGGAAGGATGGCAAGTTACCATGGACATTGCGTTCTGACCTTAAATTTTTCAAGGAGATCACGATGAATACGACTGACCCTGGGAAGAAGAATGCTGTGGTAATGGGGAGGAAAACTTGGGAAAGTATTCCCCTCAAGTATCAACCTCTCCCTGGTCGGCTTAATGTTGTGCTGACTCGTTCTGGGAGTTTTGACATTTCTACTGCTGAGAATGTTATTACTTGTGAGAGCATTCCATCTGCTTTGAGATTGTTAGCAGAATCTCCTTATTCTTCTTCAATAGAGAAGGTGTTTGTTATAGGTGGTGGCCAGGTATTAAGGTAAGGGTAACATGCTTCATATGTTTTCCTCTGTGTTGTTGATATGATAGCTATTGACAGTTTTCTAGTACAGAGAAGCACTTAACGCTCCAAGTTGTGATGCCATCCATATGACTGAGATTGAGACGAGCATTGACTGCGACACTTTCATTCCTCCTGTTGATGATTCTGTATTTCAGCCTTGGTACTCATCTCCACCAATCGTTGAGAATAATATTCAGTTCTGCTTTGTAACTTTTGTTCGTGTGAGGAATTCTGCTATTGAATCCGATATTTCAAGCAGTGGGGTGAATTGTGATATTAATAAAGATTCTGATAAGGTCAAGGTTGATAGTTTTACTTTCCTTCCAAAAATAATTTTTAAGAAACATGACGAGTTCATGTATCTGAGATTGGTTGAAGATATCATCTCAAGTGGCAACCTGAAAGATGACACGACGGGGACTGGTACTCTATCCAAATTTGGTAGCCAGGTAATCTCGTACTTATTACGTATACTAATAGGTATATAGATACATGTATACCTAAAAATATGTATATGCACTTATCTGTTTTTTTCGATAGAAAACAGTAAATATCATTAATATGTAAAAATTATAAATCCTATCTAAGGTGGATAAGGCATCCAACCCAAAGATAGGTGAAGTCAAACATCACAAAAACAACACAAAGACAAAAACAATTCAAAATAAATATGCTACATGCCACACGTGGCTTTCCAACTAGTAGTAATACAGAAAAGAGGGAGATCAGCAAATTCCATAGACACCGATGCCCAAAAAGAATGTCCGAACCCTTAAGCCTTCCTCCGCCTTACTTTTGTCATCAAAGATTCTCTGATTCCTTTCCAACCAAATCACCTAAATGGTAGCAAAAAGAGCACACCGCCAAAGAGTATTTATCTTTCTATATTCACCCAAACCCGTAGCATTCAAACTAATCATTGGAGACATGGAACTTGGCTTCACCCAACAAAGTCCCACAAAATTAAACAACTTGTTCCAAATAGAGAATGCCCGTCGGACAATGCAAAAATAAATGATCCACGTTCTCACCATCATTCATACACATTACAAACCATTGCGGAAGAAAACAAGTCTTAGGTCTCCTCCTTTGAAGTACATCATTGGTGTTGATCTTCCCATGGACAATCAACCATGCATATGCATGTATATGTTATTTCATTGTTTCTTGTTTTATGTGTTTCTCTTTAGAAAATGAAAAATTATGTTTGTGCAATCATGATTCATATCATTTTGGGTTTCATATTGTACTTCTAATTCTTGTTTAATTTGCAGATGCGCTTTAATCTACGTAAAAGTTTTCCAATTCTTACAACTAAGGTGGCTTCTTGAGTCCCTTTTCTTTTCTGTGCAATGCTATGTGTTTTGGTTTATTTTATGCAGTGCTTAGCATTTTCCCCATTCTTCTACTACTATCTCTAAGTTGTGTTTGGAATAAATATCATCATGAATTTAGAAAGTCATGTCATATTTGTGATCTTCTAGACTGGTAGTTCTGTTATTTTACTCTTTTGGTCACTTGAAAGTCTTAGCTATCTAAGTTTTGTAAGATGACACCAATTGTACTTTTATTACACAGAAAGTTTTTTGGCGAGGCATTGTTGAAGAGCTTTTGTGGTTCATTAGTGGTTCAACAAATGCAAAGGTAATCACATCCTCGCCAGCTGCCTCAGATGCTATGTTTCCTTTTGGCTGTTGTTTATGCACTAACTACCCAGGGTGAGATGCTTGACAGTGAGATGTGCTTCAAGTTGTACCTATTTTTCATGTAGAATCTCTACTTTGTACAAACCAAACACTCAATGTTACTTTCTTCTACTTAATGAGCTTGAGCTGATTCCTGATAAGTTAGTTTGGTTGTTTTCCTCAAGTAGAGTTTACAGTCACCTGGGAATGTTGGCACTTGTAAATTATGTTGTGGATTGCTATCTGCGCATTATTATGTATTCTCACTCTGGGATGCCAAATTCAGTATGTTAGAATATTCAAGCTCTTCTATCCTTCTCTTACCATCTGTGAGTAGCATTAGCTATTTACATGTTCAAAGCATTTTTACCTTTCTAGTGTTTATTTGAATTCTTGTGCATCTATATTTATTTTTTCTCTTCGTAAACAGAATGTAGTCTTTATGCCTCTTATTTAATCAGTATTTTTGTGACTATCCGAGAAGTTAACTACTACAGATGAAGATGAAGATGATTGTATGCTTTTTTCAGTTGTGTTTTTCCTCCTAATGACCGTCCTCTTTCTGAACACGCTTAACCATTATCAATTGAGTTGTCTTAGGTACAATGCCATACCATTCAACCTTAGACCTACTTCGCATCATGTTATATATCTCTTTCTTCCTTTTGTTAGAGAAATATTCAGCTGACCTCTCCTGACTCAAAGTTTCCAACTTTATACATTTGCACTGATCCCCATGTAATACTTTTATTCGTTGGGGGAGGTTTTAAGCAGTGGAGCTTTGGCCCGCAAATCACACTACTCGAGCGATTAAAGACAACCTATTTTACATATTTTTATCTGCATTTGAATTTTGCATTTTTTTTTTATCATATATGCCTTTTTCTGTGAACATTGATTGTCCTTGAAGTTCTGAAGTGATGGTGTAAAATTTTGTGCTGCTAACAGGTCCTGCAGGAGAAAGGCATTTATATCTGGGATGGCAATGCATCTAGAGACTACCTCGACAGGTAGCAACTCAGCTTTGAGAATCAATTTTACTTTGACCATAAAAATCTGTTTGACGAATGTCTGTATCTATATTTGCAGTATTGGCTTGGCAGACAGGGAAGAGGGTGACTTAGGGCCGATATATGGGTTCCAGTGGAGACACTTTGGTGCCAGGTTAGAAGTGCACTTGACTTGAAGAGCTCATTATTTTATTCTAGGAAGTTTCTTTTAAGGTTGTGTCTCACAGGTACACCAATATGCATGCTGACTACACTGGCCAAGGATTTGATCAGTTGGTAGATGTCATTGACAAGATCAAGAATAAACCGAATGATAGGCGCATAGTCTTATCAGCTTGGAATCCATCTGACCTTAAGTTGATGGCTCTTCCACCATGCCACATGTTTGCACAGGTATGCAATGAATTAGTGGTCTGTCATAATCCTTTTATAACTGGATCTTGATCTACAATGTTCACTAATTTGTTCATTATTCTTTTTTCACTTGTTTTTAATGAAATTATCTATTGCAGTTTTATGTAGCTGGTGATGAGCTTTCCTGTCAAATGTATCAGCGCTCTGCTGATATGGGCCTTGGTGTGCCATTTAACATTGCATCGTATGCTCTATTGACATGCATGATTGCTCATGTTTGTGGTAGGCATCTGTTTCCACTAGTTGACTGAAACTATGCAAACACTTGTGGTTCGTTTGATACGAAGGATGGAAAGAAGGAAGGAAGGAAAAGTAAAAGGAATAAACTTTTTATCCTTGCAGGAAAAAAACTATTTTCCCTCCTTTTTATTTGGTAGGAGGGATGAAAAGTAAGAGGAATATATTTTTCATTGTTTGGTAATGGATGAAAAATGAAAGGAAAGGAAAGGAAAAACATGCATGCCAAATTTAAAATTCTACTCTTAAATAGTGAATTGTGTTTTGGTGCAGTATATATATTAGAATATATTGAGGGGCAAAAAAGTAAACTTATCTTAAAAAGCATATTGATCCCACCTTTTCTTCTCACTTTCTGCCCACTTTTTTTTGTTGGGGGGAGAGGGGAGGTGAAAATTGTGGGGTAGAGGAAAATGCTCTCTCTCAACTTAGCTTTGTATCTTTCGATTTGAGTCATTCTTACAGCTTGTCACTAATTGGTAGTTTTGTGTGGATTTATAAAGAATGCTTTTGACACTAATTTGGCTGAACAGATCTCTTACCGGGCGATTTCATCCACGTTATTGGGGATGCTCATGTTTATAAAACGCATTTACAGCCTCTGCTGGAGCAGCTTCAGAAAATTCCTAGACCTTTCCCGGTGAGTAACATTCAGTACTTAGACATGTCCTTTTCGATATGCAACCAACTTTGGTTATTACATATTAGGAGTTTTTTCCGTTTTACTATTGGAGTAGCACAGAATCCTCATATTGGAGGAAAGCTTACCAGGTTAAATTCTAAAATTTTATTAGTACAGAAGAAGAGAATGATAGCGTGTCCCATTGCGGAAATATGTGGGCACCTACATATTTTGGTAAAACTAAAAGGGTGTCCAGGTCAAAGGAAACAATATATGTTTCCGTTGTTTCTTGACTTGCTGCGCTCTTTTTCAATTGCTATACAGATTCTGAAGATCAATCCACAGAAAAAGGACATAGATTCATTTGTGGCCGCTGACTTCAAACTAATAGGTTATGATCCTCACAAGAAGATAGGAATGAAAATGGCAGTGTAGGCCCATAGATGACTACTTTGAGTTTTAGAGGTATACCTTTCTCGGCCTTTTTGCTAAGATCAAGAGTTTTAGAGGTAATTGTAACGGTTATTTGTGGATTACTCCCTTTTGGGTGTCTTGTTAACAATTTAATTCCGAGAAACTGCAGAAAAACACCCTACGAGGCTGCTATATGTTTGTGTGCATCAGTATATTTTGTAGTAAAAGTTGGAACAATAAAAAAAAACCTGATATAAAAACATAAATGGAACCAAATTACTATTAATTGTACCAGATTAGGCCAACCTCTTTGAATTTGGCAGCAACATTTGATATGCAAGGGAGAGATTAAGGATGGGGGTAGGGGAATTTAAGCGAAACAGTAATGCTATACCCAAGAATTCAATATGATCAGGTTGATTCGAACTCAAAATGAGTGGAGTTTATTTCTTGTCCTGTGTTCGATTATTGAACAACTTGTGCAGGTTAAAAGAAGGGTTTTTCTGCCATGCTAAACCCAGTTTATAAATACAGAGCTGTTGCAAAAGTTTGATTCTCAGATTACGGTAGTTAATGAAGCAAAGGCGATTTTGATGGAGTAAGATCTTTTCTAGTATACTTTCTCTTCATTTTTTTTCTTGACACATCATTTATCATCTATTCATATGGTATCTATTATATATAGTTGAGTCTCTCAGACTCTCACCCATTAATGATGGGTGATGTGCCAATAAAAAAATTAAAAAATATATATTAAAAGAGATCTAAATTTGATTTTGATATAGATATAGCAAAGTTGTTTCAATGAGAAGTGATTGTCAAATAATTAAAACAACGCAAGTGACCATCTATCTAATCTATCTGGTCTTTTTCCTTTAAAATGTTGAATGATCTTTCATGTTAGGTGACGATATCGACTTTTCTTTATTATTTATTAATATATCATATGTACATAATACCGATTGATTTCCTTGTCGCAAATCTTGATGCATTTATGCGCAATCTAAAAAGAACCAAAAATTTATTCCAAGTAAAATCATAGTGAACAATTTTTTTTTTTAAAAAAAAAAATTTACTGGAAAAGTTACTTGACTTTCATGTAAAAATCAACTATATGAGGAATACCAAGCAAGATTATTTTCTTTTTCTTTTTCTTAATAAAATGGGACATGCTTGTAAATCTCTTGAGTAAATTATGTATTTAATCCTCAAACTATAACCTTTGTGCTAATTAAGCCCATGAATTTTTTTTTTAAGTCAATTATACCCCTAAATTATTTAATTGTTTCAATCAAACCTTTCTGTTAGGGTTTCAAACGGAAGGGTATAGAATGTGTTCGTCGCGTGCCTTCTTCAGGGGTGTTTTAGGCAACTCCCATTTAAGATATGAGTAAATTACGTACTTAATTATCAAATTATGACTCTTATATCAATTAAACACCTAAATATTACATATGATTGGCCTTTCATTTGTGAATTTCGAAGAGTAATTCCCTAACCAAAACCTAGTCCACCACTTAAAATGGAGTATTTGTTTAAGTACACAAAAAATGCAAAATCTAAATTAAATAGAACACTTGATGCAGGATATCATCTGCATCACGTATTAACCACTTCATTGATGAGTTATTGCTGACCGAAAATATATGAACAATAGACTCTCAAAAACTTCTTGTAGTGGGTTAAGTTTTTGGTCCAACAGTTGCTCTTCGAGATTCATCGACAAAAAGTTAACCATCTGCAATGATTGAAACAATAAGATAATTTAGGAGCTTAATTAACTCAAAAAAAATTCAAAGACTTAATTAACACAGGGATCATATTTGAAAGCCAAATACGTCATTTATTCGAATCTCTTTTTGCAAATAATCCCAATAGAAAGATTAAATAAGGCAAATACCACTAAATGAAAATGGCATCAGTGAAGAAGAAAACTCACATTCAGAACAGCAAAACAGAGCTTATATGCCCAAGAATCCAATATTCTCTCGCTGGGCATACATCTGAAATTGGGAAGAATAAAACTCACATAATAGAGCAACTATCAAGTGATAGTTCTTATGGAATATGCAGAATCTGGATCTTCTTCCAAATCGACAAATTTGCCAGATTCTCCAAAGACAGGTTGCATTCCGAATTGCTACAAATAGAACTGAGAAAGAATTATTACTTCCAATTACAAATTTCTTTTGTTGATAACTACGAAATAGAGCTTATAGGTTGCGTACAAGAGATATGGTCTCTTTGATCATAGAATGGTACAATGACTACAGTAATCTTTGCCAATCACGTATCAAACATCGCATTGCAGGCATGTTCTTGGAAGAGAAGGAATGACTGTTTTTTGTCATCCTTGGGAGGACCTATACTCATTTTTTGTGCAGAGTTTCTGAATTTCCTCACCATTTTAATGATTCTTACAGGATCGGCTTCACCAGTTACTGTTGCTGTATCTTTTGATGGGTCGAGAACAATAGAATTTATCCCTTCAATTTTTGAAAGTAATTTCATTACCTTTTTTCTGCACTTTGAACAGAGTAGATCCATGACCAAAAAAAAAAAAAAACCAGAGTAGATCCACTGACACTACAGTTTTCTGCAACAAAAAGGAGAGCCAGATTCTTCAGTACTTCTTCTGACCTCAGATAACAATGTATGGCATATCACATAAGCTGAAAATGTAATGCAAAGTGTCAGTATAAGGAGAGGATGGCAGATGTATGAGAAGGCATTAGATATGTGCATAACAGACCAAAACACAAATAAAACACCTAAACAATGAGGCAATATAATTAGGGAACTTCAAGGAGACAATATAACTTTTGATAACAATGACATTGTAGAAAGCAAAATAGATGAAGCTGTTGTGCATGTCATGAATTTCTTTCAGAGATGCTATATATAAATCCTGTCATGAATTTCTCTCTCTCGGCTGGATTTGTCTGATTATGTTCAAGGGAAATACAATAAAATCCTTTCAAGGTTTCTTACCAATGCTGTTCTAGTAGAGGTCTGGTCCATCTGGCAGAAAACTAAATTGAGTGACAGTGTTAGTCGGTGACAAAGAAGTAAATGCCAGTCAGAAGGTTCTTGATTGGATTACCTATTATCTTCCCTTTGCATTTATTGTGGAATTTGTAATCTCTCTTTCTCTAATACCACACATCCACCCCTATCCCAAAACATGGTTTGAACTTTGAACATAGCACTAGCTAGTAGAAATTCGGTAACATAATTCATACAAGTTAAAACCCTTATTTGCACAAGTGATCACGATGTGCATGCCCACTTACATGAATCAAAGAAACTAGAATTCTGAGCAGAGATATTCCAGCAAAATATGATTCTCAATACATAATTCACCATAATTAGAAAGGCATCAGTCATCACAATACAACTATTTTAACTAAACAAACTATCTTTAACATAACATGTGCTTATGCTCCAATTGTACCGCACTAGGTTTCCGTGTGTGGCAGCGAAATACATGGGATGCTATCCATGTTCTGACAAACAAAGTGAAATCTAGGGTGTGGTGGAAGTTCTGGCCACTGACCTAATGATCTTGCATAGACAATCTGAAGTGGATCTAACATAGGAATGTTTTGCAGTAAAAGGAAATAACCAAGTTGATATAACATACCATCAAGACTGATCTGACATGAATGACTCAAAAGAAGGCCTTGTAATTTCAGGTTCACCTTTAGTGGAAAGGATATTCATCTTACTGGTCCCAACTGAACCCAGTTCTGCTATTCTTTCTGTATGTCAGTTAAATATCCAGTTTAAAGAGTTTACGCGTGCGCGCATGTGTGAGAGAGAGAGAGAGACCTTTGAAAACCAGGAGCATGTTGAACTCGTATGGTAAGATCCAGATGCTTTCAAAGGATAGCAGCAAACATCATAACGGACTGATTCAGGTACCGACACTTACTACTCCTATATTGATTGCTGCTACTGATCCAAGAACTCCCTCTGGCATCTGTGTGCTGATTCAATGTTCTGTGAATCCCGCTGCATGATCTGCAGAGATTGCTAGTAACAATTTTTCTAATTTGGCATTTTAGTACTGTTGAAAGCGTTCACTCAACTATTTTGAGAGATAAAAAAATTAAGAAAAAAAGGGAATATAAAGAATATATGTAACAAACAATCTGTCTCATCCACTTACGTAGAAATAGAAGTTTTGATCGACTGAAATAGCATTAAAACGCTAAACCAACTCCAATATATATGAACCAAAGGAACAAAAAAGGAGAAATGAATTTTATGACGTGTTGGTATTGAGTTATGACCACCATATGACTATCATATACATAGAAGATACCTGCATGTCATACAATTTGGGCTATACTAGCTTAAAAATAAATCTTCAGGACCACGATAATGCATGCCTGATAAACAATGCACCAGTCGAATCATATCTGTTTAGATGAACCTTGGAAACTGAATGCCATTGTTTTAGGAGAATACAAATTAGACTAGACATTAAATGTATACAGCACACTTTATAAAAGCCTAAATGTCAAAAACCTCATACACATGCCATTTAAATGCCATCAAAGGCACAATCGACTCGTTTAGAATTTCATGTGAAAATATCATTCTGGCTTAAAAGGGTGTATGTAAGTACATGCACAGATAAGCACAACAAGGTGCTTCAAACTAAAAGACCATTGAAATACGTTAATCCTGCATCGAGCATACAATTGCCCAGACATGGCAGTCTCTGTCCCTTGCAACTCTTAAAAGTTAGGTCTAACTCTAAATGCACGTGCACCATCTATCCAATTAAGTATGCACATCTATAGGTTAAAAGAAGTTTCATTTCAGGGTACAAATTTTACATTACAGTGTCACAGAAAAAAAACAGTTACACCTTACAAAGCTTACCTTCAAGTTTAAGATACAAGTAGAATTACAGAAATTTTGAATCTGATAGGTATAGTCACTGATCAAGTTTGAATCTGACAGTATAGTCATTGATCAAGTTGGTTCAGAATTTAACAGTGACTAAACACTAGCTTTGTCAATAAATTCTTGCAAAAAACTAGACTTCATCAAGAAAAGGTAAATTAATTTTCTTCTTGTTGAATAGCACACACCAATTCCCCGCACCAAGCTTAGTTCCACAACCAACTGTAAGGATAAATAGGTCATGTGGGCTTGGATGGAAAGACACTGAAGTAGTTGATACGTCACTTTCCTTGGAGTAAGGAAAAGTCTAATCTGTCTCTTTCTCCTTACGTCTCCTAGTAGGCTCCCATTACTACAGCATCAAAGACAAACCATTAATTAGAAACTCGTGTAATCAACTTGTACATGCTTTGAGCAGTATGTCAATTAAAAATGTCTGATGATATGATACTACTTAAGATTTAAAAGGAAAAAGATGGAAAGCATAGGCAGGTATGGGTTTCTTTTCTTTTCACTTCTGTCCTTTGGATGTAGAGTAGATTAGCCAGACGTCACTGATAGCATCAAGATGGTGCGTGGTTTGAGTGAAAAAAATAATAGTGGACGAAACACAGCACGTTCATACATGAAACAAAGATGTTTAGCAGAGATTTTAGCAAAATTATGCCCTGAATAAGGCAACATTTTACCAATTGTGGACACAGGCATAATGGGTAAAACTCTTATATCAATCTGCAGAAAACTATAGGGAGAGAAAGGTCTACTTTACACATAGCCAAATGAAATATAAAGGCCATACTTTCCGAACAAAATAAAAAATAAGAAGGCTACAAAAAGAGGAAGCAAAGCCATCTGGAAAAGTCTCAACAAGCTCACTGCCTATGTCAATCTAATATTAAACAAATACAGAAAACAGATTAAAAAACACAGCTACACCATAAACAACAATTGTAGGTTTTATAAACATGCTTAGAGGGTAAGAATCATAAAGATGCTGAGTTGCAGGACTCTGAAGTAGACTTGAAAGAAAGCAAAAAGAACAGGAAATCAACTGACGTTTGCAATAAGAAACACTATTTTTCTAACTACTCCCAATTACCAGCAGTATCTCTAGAATGAGGAGCATCTTCCATGACATTGGATTGATCAAAATTCGCAACTTCCGCAATGCTTGTGGCATTTTCCAGTTTATGCTGTGCTTTCACCTTCTGAGAGTAGCAGCTGACAATTTGCTGATCTAACTCATAATAGTATTCCATCTTCATCAATGGTTTCATATCCAGATCAATAAATGATGCCTAGTAATTGCAACTTGAGTAAGCCATAAATGACGAAAGAAGACAAAATGAATTAGAGAAATCCAGCTATTGGATGAAAAACTTTAGGGTAAATTCTATTTTACTGCCATGTGATTTGGTCTTGTAGCACTTCACCTTCATTCAAATAAAACCACATAACCCTCATGTGGTTTTGGAGTGAAGTACTACCATTATGAATTCGATCTAACTTGACGGAAATTGTGGCACATGCCTAATTTGAGAGTTGTCATGTGAAAATTTTAAGTTAGATTCCAGTGCAAAAAGGCCAAGCCTACATTGTCTTAAGAAAAAGGCATAAATTCCCTTCCTCCTTCAACTTATTCCCACCCCAGCAGAACCCCCATCTCGCAATCCCATCTTTACGTGGCCATACCCAGAAACCATCTATCTCCTCCTCCTCTTCATCTTCCACAGGCACACGCAAGCACCATAACTGCTGCCACATCAAGGCCACCACCTCAAACCACCAAACTCCACAACGAACACCAAATCTAACTCCGAGCCATCCAACAACCTGATACCCGAAAATGCATGAACTTTCAACATCAAAATCAATTTCATTTGAAAACCCATTAAGCATATCAACCCTTGTCATTGAATAGAAAAAAAATTCTACATGTGATCAACAACTGTAGTGGCCTCGTAAGCCATGACTGCCACTCAGAAGCTGCAAACCCATCATTTAACTAGCATTGGGCTGTAGGAGAGATTTTTGGCCACCTAGGTGTTGTGATGGTTCAACAGTGGGTGGTGGTGGTTCGACAGTGAATGATGGAAGAAAAAGAAGCAGCACCAGTGATGGATAGATAATGAGGGTAATAAGGACATTCAACTAATGCCTTGGTAGACTAGCGATGATAATTGTTTCCTTTAGGCCAACCACACGAGAGTTGTGTGATTACAATTGAACCATAGAGGTGTGAAGTGCTATGAGGAGAAACCACAGGAGAGTAAAATAGAATTAGGGCAAAGTGTATGAATAGATTCCAACACAATGGCAAAACGAGATGTCCATGAAATTTAAAGAGTACATGGAACCGTTTTGCATGAATTTGTTGCAACATATGAAGTAATGATTACAAGAATGGATTGGTGCTAGCGCTTGCAAGAGGCCAGGACATACATCGATGTGGCTCACTTCCTCGTATGCTCTCCCCCTACGCTTTTGAATGCTACAGGGTGAGAGCTATTAGTTCGATTGCCTATTCCATACTTTATCAGTGGTGGTAGACAAATGGTTTGGTTTACGCATGAACAACGATCTTTATTCTGGAGCTCTTTCTTACTATTCATCCCTGCCATCTCTTTCATAACAGGTCGGCTCACTCCATCTACAACCCCACATTTCCATGTAATAAAAAAATGACAATGCCAGTAGCCAAATCTTTAACGAGTCCATTCAGAAAACATCCCCATGTTTTCCAACGTCGTGGTCAAGGATATGGAACAATCTCATTTCCATCTGACTTCTAAACAACTTGTGTTTTTTTCACCAGATCAAGGAATAAGAATCAAATGAGAGATACAGAGGGGCTACATACCTTGCAATCAAAACTCTGATTGGTTGATTCTAGGAGAACACCACCATATGGAGATTCCAAATCCCCAGTTTTCCGAGGTCTGAAACAATACATCATACTCAAGTCCTTTCCAGTTGCAGCTATTAAAAAGTCCCTCACAATCTTCAAGCTTTCATTTAATGGGATTGAATGCAAAGAGGTATATTTCTCAGACAGTTTGCCTTCACCTAATTCTCTACATACCATACAAGGCTGAGAAATAATATCATAATATGCATGAATTGCCCCTTCTATGTCAACAACATCAAGCTTTTGAACTTTAAGAAGCCGATCGAGTAATCCTGATCTGAAAATTGCCTCTGCAACAAGCTCTAGAAAATTGATTGTACGCATTCCATCTTCTGCCCAAATGATGCACTTGAGGACATCTTCAAATGCTTTACCCACCATACAACTAGTACTGTCCACGCCACCACCCAAGCCACCAAATATGAGGGAACCATTCAAGAAGACTCTGAAATTGTTCTGAGGGGTAGCAAAGAGGTCCTTAACTGCTTTATGTACTCTGTCCTTAGATCCAGAGAATATATCTAGTGGATCATAAGTGCTTATTTCTGATACCTGGGACAATATTATGCATTGGAGGAAAAAACCCAATATCAGAATTGTAGTAAAGATAAACAGATAAGGCTTGATTAGTGAAGCTAGTATTTAAGGTGTATATGCAACAGTTGGACTACTGTTGGACAAAAACCATGAATATGTTAATCCAATAAATATTGAATGAACGAAAAAGTCCAATATAGGTATTTCTTGAAAAGTATATGGAAAATATGTTACCTTTCCTTGCTGCAATTTCAGGGTTTGGTACATTTTAAAACGTGTTGTGCTTCTTTTAATGGTATTGCCTTCTGCTATAAATTCCGAAAGTGGAAGGAATCCACATTTGGGCTGCATTTTAGAAACAAAAATGGAAACCAAAGAGGTTGTAAATAGGTAGACCATTAAGCAAAACTTGTAACTAACAGGAACACAGAGCAACACTACTCCAAAGTGAAGAAATGAAACAAAAACATCAATCAAGCAGCAAGCACCTTAATCTCAACAGATACGCAGATGTTCTCTTTAAGAATACCTGAAAAAAAAGAAGAAAAAAGTATACCACCATAACAATGTAGATAAAATGGAGGATACATCAGAATTGAGCCTTCTCAATCAGTCTGTGATGAGAACATATTGTGTGCAGTCACATCCCGTTCCTTTAAACCCCTAGTTCTGTGTTCTAATGTTTAATAAGCAAACAAGTCACAATAAATATGTGCATGCCTGCGTGCTTGCATATTCTTCCCCAGTAATTCCCCAATCAGGCCAGCCAGTGGAGAGATTTTGGGTGTCATGCCCCCCCCCTTTCCCCAAAAAGAAAAAATTATATATATGAATACATATCTTCTTACATCTTTCATTGTATCTTTCCTTGAAAATATGTCCGGAATGCAAAACGTGCTTGATGCAGAAGGGTCAAGATTGATGCACTTGTTAGAGGACAGACATATTGTTCTGTTGTAATGGCAAGCGTATTAGCCTTGTAATGATTTAGAAGTCCTAATGTGCAATTAGAAACTAAAAGAGTTGATGCATTTTTTCAGCTCTGTCCAATATAAGACCTTTAATCTATTATCTCATTGGTCATCATGACTCAATCTTAAGTCTTATGCAGTTTCTTATATTATCTTTTCGTCCATTTGGTTGCTCAAATTTGAGCTTTCTTTTTTCTTTTGCTCACTGCACTCAGTAAGAACATTCCAGAAAAGGGAAGACACTATTGTGGCCAGTGATAATGGCTATATTCATCCTCTATACTCTGTTGTCCATTGTGATTTCAATCAAACTAGAAGGCAACAATACGAAAGAAATGCCTCAGTTTGATGGTACTTTTAACTCTGGCACACCAATGTTAAAAAATACTGTAATTTCATATCATAAGTGGCGATAGACCAAAAAATTAGGCTCTATAATCTGAATTCCCATTTATTGTCTTCCATCTGTAACCAATTGTCGAACTGATGCTTAATGATCACATAAGATATGTGACAAGCCAGTGAACCACCTTTTTCTTTCACATTTTCCAGACAGACTGATATTCTAATGTTTGGGAACTTCTAAGTTGCAAGTCATGCTATTTTATTTCCTAGATTTTCAGAAGTTTTTCACTGGCATAGTATCATGGGAAACTATCTGATGGGGATCGTGTAGGAATTGGATAAATATTATAGATTAATTATGATAGTTATTTGGATACTTTTAATATTTATTTTTATGTAATTTCTTTTAACTTATGATAGTTTATTTGTCATTATTTATTTGTTTTAGGGTTTTAGTTTTCCTATATAAAGGGATACATGTAAGAGTTTTATTGAAATGAGACTTTGATTATTATTGATTATTGATATTGATTTCTTCTTCCGCAAATTCTCTCTCTGTTCTCATCCCTTTCTTTTTCTTTTCTCATCCCTAATTCTTCCTTATTACGATCTACATCAATTTAGTATCAGAGTTCAACTTCGATTCGTACAAAAAAAAATACTATTCATAGTGCGCTCTGTTCATCAAAAAATACTGTTCATCGTCATAAGTAGTAAAAAAAAAAAACATAATTGTCCCAGCAAATTCAAAAAATTGCAACAACATCCCCGTTGTTTCAAAAATTAAATAAACACCCCAAAAATTTCAAAAATTGTAGAACCACCACCAAAAATTTCAAAAATTGCAAAATCTCCCCCCCCAGAAGTTCCAAAATTATAGAAACATCCCCAATAGATCCATAAATTATAGAATCATCCCCAAAAAATTTCAAAATTTTCTTGATTGTGGTATGCATACTCTCGTAGAATTTGAGACTAATATTTTTATTCATTGAAAAATTAGAGAATTTATAAAGGGTCCAAAACACATTCTCTTCTATTTAAACTTTCTTGAAATTGTCAATTACATTCTTGAATTTGTACTTATACCATTCTCATCTTTCAAGAGTCACTCATGAGTTCCTCTAATGCACATGTTTCAAGAGTCTCTCGTCAAGGTCATCATCATAGGAAGTCTAGGGATGTTTACATGAAGTCAACCCATATGACTGCACTAGTCAAAAATCCTTCTATATTTAGTGACACTTTAAATCCTTTTGAATTCCTAGATTGGTTAGCTAATTTAGAAGAATATTTTGATTGGCATTGCATGTCGGATTCCCATTGCGTCCATTTTGCTAAATTGATGTTGGAGGGTTCCGCCAAATAATATTGGCAAACAATCCAAAGAAGCCCAAACCCCTCAGGAGAATTACCTATCACTTAGGTTGAAATGGGATATAAATTGAAAGAGAAGTATTTGTCTACTTTTTACATGGATCAAGTTTATGACCAATAACTCAATCTTAGACAACATTCTTCTAGTATCTCTAATTACTTTGCCCAGTTTGATTATCTCATGTACTTATGTGACATTGTTGAAGAACCTTAGACAACTAATCAGTTTATTCTTGGGTTGAGACAAAAAATTAGTAAGAAGATCAAACAATATACTTTTAATACGTTAAATGCAACCTATCAATATACTTTAAAGGTTGAGAGATTTCATAAGAAATCCAACTATAGCTTGATGGGTTCTCAATCACAGTCTGCTAAACAGCGTAACAGGATACCTTCGAATTTTAATTCCATCACATATGAGTATCATGATTACTTGCACGATATCTATGTTGTTTCTGCATGCTTTCTTAATCTAAATGTGACAAATGATTTAGATATGCTAGTATCGGATAGACAGAAAAATGTTAATCATATTGACTTCCAACTCCCTCATTCAGTTTCATTAGATCAGAGTTCTCCTTTGCACCCACAAGGGTTCATATCAAAAGAAAGTGTGTTAGTCTTTGCTTATGTCACTTCTTGAACCATCGTTGATCTTAAAAATTGTGGAAAAGTCTGTCGAGTCTACACCTATGCAAGATATTAAGTCAATCGAGTTATTTATTACAGAATCTACTAGTGATTATTTTGTATCTACTTGTCCAAGTCATTATAACTTTGTTACGGATTCTTCCCGATCTAAGATCGTTGACTTTGTTCCTCTGCCTACTACCAAGTATTCATTTGAGTTTGTACTTAATTATTTTTAGCACCAAGACGTTATTGTTACTACTTTATTATTGAAGTCTTGTCCCACTGAATGTTTGTTGTTCAAGTCTGATGAGAATTATTTTCCTATTCTTGAATTTGAATCTAATACTTATTTGTTTAATTTTCCATTGAATGTTAGAATTAGTCCAGATTTTTATTTGGAGGACATGCTGCTTAATCGAGGTACTCCAGAACCTCCTATTTTATTCGCAGGTGTTCATACAGATGGAGATTCTTGCATTTATCATAGTTGATGAAAAAAAGTTGATGGTTCTTTCATTCTAGATGAGGCATTATGTCATCTTTATCCTGCTCTCTTAGAGTACTTTTACTTTGAAAACTCTCTAGAGGAGAATTTTTTTCAACCAGCAGAGAATGATGGGGATCGTGTAGAAATTGAATAGATATTATAGATTAATTATAATAGTTATTTAGATACTTTTAATATTTATCTTTTATGTAATTTCTTTTAACTTATGAGGGCTCATTTGTCATTATTTATTTGTTTTAGGATTTTAGTTTCACTGTATAAAGAGATACACGTAAGGGTTTTATTGAGATGAGACTTTGATTATTATTGATTATTGATATTGAATCCTTCTTCCTCAAATTCTCCCTTTGTCCTTATTCCCTTCTTCTTCTCTTTTCATCACCAATTCTTCCTTACTACGATCTACATCACTATTACTTCCTAGTTTTGCTTTTCCACTTCAACAGCAAGTTATATGGTTGGTGAATCATCATCAGTGTTCTAGAGAAATTGCAAATATTTTGCTATATACCTTTGACAAGAACAAAAGGAAAAGCAAGCATGAAAACATGGGCCTGTGTTTCACAGAATGAACCCTGCCCCACCCCAAACAAAACCCAAAAGAAGGAACAGCATCCCCAAGTGATACTTTGTTAACATTCTGCAGGATGCAACAAGCAGAAAGATATTTTCCGGAAGCATTGCGAAAGATGGAAATTACCATGAGGAAAAAATGCATGATCAGATATTAGAAGAGCCGAATCACATAGGGGATTGACCATGGCGGCATCAACTCGCCAAGAAGGACGCTGACAATGAACATTCTTCTCAACTGCCTCCAGAAATTCCCGGGACACAAGGATGCGAATCTGACATGTATAGAACAGACAAGGTCAGAGACTTTAATCACCCCAATACTATCACGATGATCCCAAGTATGATATCAGAAAGAAATGAAATGCTATGACTATTTTCTAAAATGCCTTCTCATACAAATAATAATATATAATTCAATTGATTGGTCATCTCCTAATCTTCTAACAAAGTGCCCAAGTCTTTTCCATTTTTCTCTCCTGAATGGGCCACAGAGAAGGGGGGAAAAGAAGAGGAGGGGGGGGGGGGCATATGAGATATAAATGTATGACACAAAAAATATCAGCCGCACGTCTAGAGATGAGACATTCAGGGATAGAAGGCGTATCCTTGCCATATAAATGAACTGGATATGAAAATTAATGAACAATAATACTAGAAGGGAAGCTCCAAAAGAATAAAGTTATAATTGCTCAATTATGTCTTCTCAACACTCCACAAAATCAACAATAATATGAAGGTTATAATTGCTCAATTATGTCTTCCCAACCACAAAATCAACAATAATATGAAGTACAATTTTTTTTTTTTTTTGGGGGGGGGGGGGATAGAAAGAAGTAATGTGATGCAAATACAATAAAGATCCTGCAGAACCTACGATACCACAGCAACATACCCCAGCATCGACATGTTCAGAACCCAACAATGGGCTCATTACATGCTGCACATACAGTTGTTCTGCAATCTCCCTGGTAGGAGCTGATACAAGGTTTTTAGTTTCTTTCCAGAGAAGGCATTCATGCATGTTTAAAGCTAAAGGACACTTTTCACAGTGTGATTCATTCCTTGAAACTTTTTGAATGCGCAATACCTTGCCGATCTGTACACAACAGAATGAAGAAACGATAAAGAATGAAAAATCGTTAGTAAAACCAGTTTACAAAGTCTTCTTGTAGGTAAAAATCCAATATCCACGGCCTCTTTTTTGTACATACACACTAGAAGACAGAAATTTGATCTAAACTTTCTATCTAAGAGTTTGCTCCATTTAACACACAAGTAGTGGAAGCTATAATAGGACATTATTTAATGATGGCAAAGAGAAATCAAATAGGCTGGTGATACTCATCTAAGTTTTGACAAGAAATCCAAGTCATGAACAATTCAGAACTGGATTCAATAGGATCAGTGAAATCAAGTTTCAAATATCTACAAGGCCCTCCATTCCTTTTTCTTCATTTTATTCTTTCAGAAATCTCCTTTTTCAAGATATCAAATACTCACTAACTGTAACACTAAATTAGTGTTCACACAGACTATGATTCCTAATTTTCTTAACTACGGCAAACCAAAAAACTAGTTCTCAGTGTTTGGCAACTGGGAAAATTGCCAAATGACAAAGCCTAAACTGCAACTTTTTTAATCTGCGCTAACTTCGGAATAAGTAATAAATCTAAATGTTCAGCATGTTAATTTCCTTCCTGTTCCTCGTCAACTAAACGCAGTTTCACTCCATAAGTCCATAGTCTTTGTATAGTACTATTACATTTAACTCAAACTGCATCTATGTCTACCATGCAAATAATTCATCATAAAGAGTAAAATTAGGGAAAAAAAAATGGAACAAAAACTAAAGCACGAGAACATACAAAATCAGGAGAGGATCCATTGTAAGCAAGAACAAGATTAATTGCTCCTTCTCCTCTGTAAACCCACTCACCCGCATCTTTCGCCTCTAAAGCCACCTCCATCCACTGCAAATTTGACAATACATTATACAAAGAGTATTAACAGGTATGCCTACATATGTATACACATACCTATATATATTGTGCAAGTGAGAACTAAAGTTTGATCATCTTCAAATTGAAGTATCTTTCGTACCTCAATCTGGAGGAGGAGGTGGATATTTAGGGTTTAGGGCAGTACGGATTCAGGACCAAGGCTCTTCGAACAATGTGGGTGAAGAGTGACAAGTGCGAGTGCATGTGTGTGTGCGCGCGTGCGCTCTATAGCTAATTTGTTGCATCTTGTTGGGTAGTAATCAAATGTATCTTTAGGAAATAGTTATTAGAATAATGTACTTGGGCTTTTCATTTTTATACAGTTGATTCCTGATTTCCACACTGACTTGTACACGATCTTATATCAACATGACAGAACCTAACTATACAAGATGATAAATGGTAAATGGAACTAGTATGATTTGAACAAATTTTTGCATAACCCAATTATACGAGATTATGAATGGGTCTAGTATGAGTTTAACAAAATTTCATACAATAAATTTCAAATAATATATGAACTCGATATGACACAACTCATTGAAATATTTACTTAGACCCTACATCATACATATTTATAAACTAGCAATAACCTATGCCTGAAAGAACTATATAATATAAAAAAATCAAATGCTGGTCAAGTAACATAAATATTTTAAATAACAATTTATTTTTTCCTTCTTTTTACTAACGCAGACAGCTTGAAATGAAATTTATTAGCCCATTATTTTCTTAAAAAAAAAAAATTGACAACAATCCCTCTAAAAATAGGACCTTAGTAGTATATCAACTTGTGTACACCATCCCTATATTTCATAATCTTTCCATAAAACGCTAGTTATTTCCAAACACTTGTTTATTATTAAGAAAAATTAGTATTTAAACAAAAGATGGCCTGAACCAATTATAGGGCTCACCATCACTCACATTACCACCTTAATACAACCAAATTTTTTACAAAGCCTTGACTCAATTAAAGATAGACACATGCCAACATGCTTATAACCTTAATAAATTCAGTAAAATTAGTGTGAATTACTCTGTCATCAGAAGTTACTCAAACAGAAAATCTAATAATCAAGAAAGTTGTACAAACCCTAGAATCCAAATACCGGAAAAAATATGTATACCAACACAAACTTAACAAATTAATTTCTAAGCTCTAGATTTGGAAAACGAATTGAAGCAAAAATACACAAATTAACAACTTCTTCTTTGCACATCAACAAAATAAAATACCTTAAAAATAAAGATAAAGCGAACATGTTGTATCATTGGGGTGCTTATCTTTAGACAAATAATTTTCTATTTCATCCTCCGTTGGATTGCTAAGATAAAAAACATGGAGTGAGATTTTTTTTTCCTCTTTTGCAATAAAATTCTTTTTTCTTCCATCATTCTTCTTAACAACCATGTAGCAATTCCCATACAATGAATTATGACTCCAAAACAGTATTAGAAATACACCAAATATTATAATTTTCCCTTTATAAATAAATAAATATAGTAGATCAAAGCATAAACCATCAGTAGTATTGTTTTACCATATAGAGATTGGCCTAAAATGCAATTCGATGCTGGTAAAATCCTAATGCTAACATCCTAATTTGTTTATATTGAGCTTCCTTGAGAAATCTCCTCATGAACGATTATGCCTTAAATTGCAGCATATTCAACATTTGTTTCTCTTGTTGGCATAGAAGTCATAATAAATACTTTTGAAAACTATGAAGGAAGTGATGGCAAAAAGTGGACAAAACCCACACACAAATACACATATGAGTAACAAATGAAAAGAATAAATCACCAAAATTCTAATAAAAATTTTCAAAAACTAAAAGACACAACTCACACACAGATACCTACTCAGAAATTTCATATTGTACTTTAATAAAGAATGCACCAAATTTTTAAAGACTATACGAAAATCTTATATTAAATCACCAAAATTCTAATCAAAACTTTGCATTTACCTCCTAGGCTGAATCCTAATTGTTATCATATGAAAATCATTGATTAAGCAAGAGCATGTGCAATTTGATGAGGGAAACAAAACTATTAAATCAAGTGCATGGAAATTTTGATGTTGGCTAATAATCATAACAAAACAAAAGTGACAATTCAACTGCAACCGATAATTCCCAAGGAAATATATAGAAAACCTTTTTGGGTTTTTAATTATTTCTAGAACTACAAAAGAAAACCTCACATGGCTATTGAACTATATGTTTGTTAGGCCGAGAGACTATATAATTTCAAAGCCCCATTCCCACAAAAAAATTCAGGTGCACTCCATAATTGATACAAGCACGTTGCTTATATGGTGAAATCCAACCAACATGGTGTCACAGCCACCGTCACCTTCTTATATCTGTAAACGTGGAAGTCAACAAATTACGACTTAACTTCAGGCAAACAAAGTTATATAGTCAGAAACTACAGCTTCAGTTGGTTTGAGTCAATCAATGATAGTTAACTCAAACTGAGTCCAACTATATTCAAACTTGAAAGGCTCGGTTCAAGTATATTCAAACTCGTAAGTGCAGCCCCATCCCTTAGAAGGGGCTCGAGTGCTGGACTTTTTCGCTACGACAATAACTCAAAAAGATCCAAAATGTAATAAAAAAAGAGGAAGAGGATTTTGGGTTTGTTAGCTCATATCAGACCGAGTATCAACACACATGTTTGCTCATGTTTAAACCCAAAATCGGAACCAATGGCTTTTTTCTTCACTCCGACATTTCATTGACCACCTAGAATGCAGAATTGTTGGTTTCTGGTATCAGCCTGGGTGAAAGGCTATTTTTCTTCGCTTTGACATTTGCTCAATCACCTAGTATGCATAAAAGAAAAGGGGTGGAGGCTTCCAACCAACCAAACCAAGCCTAATCAGTTAAGTTAAATATTTTCATATTTTTTCATATTATTTATTCAATATTAATTTAGGTCTATCCGTACATGTAGTACCACTAAGAGAAATTCAGGGGTGGAGGCTACACGGTTGAATAGGACGGTGAATAGCGGCCCTAATTTCATCAAATTAACAGCAAGGGTTATTAATTTGATGAATTTTTTGTGTGTATGAGTGGGTGTTCTGTACGGGTGGGTGTTGTGCGTGTGTTTGTTTGCTGGGCTGGGGGTTGTATGTGTGCAGGCAAGTGTCTGTGTGTGTGAGAGTGTGCTGTGTCGGTGTGTGAGTGTGTTATGCATGAGCTGAATGTGGCGCTTGTGTGTGGACATCGAGAAGAGAAAGAAAAAGAAGAGAATAGGGGAAGAGAAGTAAACTAACCTTACAGAAAGTCGCCGGATAAATCCGAGTTCATCGGAGTTTGACCGGAGTTCTACGCTGGAGAAAGAGGAGAGAAATGGGAAGAGGTAGAAGGGAAAGACCGAGAGAGATGGACCGGAGAGAGACTGACGGCAGGGGAAATAAAGACACAAACGGGAGAAAAAAAAATTGGGGGAGTAAATTTGTACCGTTGGATCAAGTTGGACTAATCTAGATTCTTCTTTTGTGTGGGTATTTATTTCTAAGATTTCATGTTACTGCCAATTTAATTAGATAGACTAATAATGGCTCGTGTTTAAAATTATTTGATAATATAAAAAATTAAAATTAATTATATAATATTTTATAATTCAAATAATAATTTATTTTTTAATTATTTAGAATTTAAAATTAAATTTAATATAGAAAAAAAAGAGAGAGGGGTATAAATTATAGAGATTGTCTAGCATTAGAGAGTGTATTAATTGAGTTATTTGATATTAGAGATTATACAAAAAATATTATGTTTTTTAGAAAAAAAATTTCCAAATGAATTTTGTATAATTGAATTGAAATAGATAAAAATTGAATTAATTTTGACCATTGTATTTTTATAAATTGTGAATTTAATTTTTTAACTATAATATATATACTAATCATAACTTGTGCCTAAATGCATGATAAAACATAAAATTCGAGTCCCAAATAATAATTTTTCTTCCCTTCATTATTTTTACCCATTATTTCTTACAAATATTGACAAAATTTTCTTAAAATACATAATTTGATAAAATTTTCTCAACATATATATACTATCGTGCATGGATAATATCTAAAATAAAAATTATGCTAAACTATAAATTAATTAAATATTAAATAATTGAACATGTGATAGAAATGAGTAATGTGTTAATTTTGAGGGATAAAATTCAACTTTCTATTTTTTTATTATATATATATATATACTAGTTATTGTTTGTGCTTAAAGGCATAAAATAATAAAAATAATAAAAATAAATATATTTATATTTATATCCAAAATCAAATCACAAATATAGAGAAGAGATAAAAGAATTTAAGCATCAGCCTGTAGTAGGGGTGAGAGGTGGTAGGCAGCAGACATGTGAGTGGTGGTGGTGGTGGTGGTGGTGGTGGTGGTGGTGGTGGTGGTGGCGGCAGCGGCGACGATGGTGGTGTAGAGATAGTGGTGGAGCGGTTTTAAACATTATTTTAAAAAAAATATATTTATGAGAAATAATTTTTAGAAGTATTTTTAAAAAGTCACTTCAAACACATTTTTAGGGACCTATTTTTCCTATTAAATTTAGGGTGTTAGTATTAGTCATTAAATTAACTTTAAAGTAAAATTTAAAATAATCTCAACTGCGAATAACAAAAATCATTTTATTTATCTTTTGAGATTTGAATTACAAGTTATTTTACTATATATATAAGATTTCTAAGATAGATTTAACTAGAGAAAATTATCCTGGAACCCAATTTATTGATTAACTAAGGGTAGTTTGTGTCTAAACGTACGATATAATGTGAATAATTTTAAGAAGAATGTTAATGACAGTTGGATAAATTTATTGGAATATGTCATTTTTTAATTATTCATTTTACTGTTATCTTTGAAATTAAATTAATAATGAATTACGGATAAAATCAATTAATAGACTAACGTTTCTTTCCAAAAAAAATTAATAAACTAAGGCGAAGGCTGATTGTGTTGTCCAAATCACTGTGCTTTCATTAGACGCAACAGTGGAGCAAGTTACATTTTATATGCTTTTTAAAGAGAGAATCAAACAACTCTAGCCAACTCAGTAGCTCACACAGTCGCGAATATGAATCGAGGAAAAGGGGCATCTGTCAAATCTATGGATGAAGATTGAACAATCCACCGACACCGACACCGACAGTAATCCAAAAAGCAGTAGCTTCAGAGATAAGGGCCAGTTTCCTTGCAATTTTTGTTTCTTTAAAATTCGTGACAGATGTATTTAGTTTTTTAAGTAATATAATTTCTTTTTCCTAACCAAAAATAAAATAAAGTAACTTTCACCGCTTTGAGAAAGGGATAATTACAATTGTACCCGTTCTATTTTTGACATCTTCATTGTACTACCACCTTTAAAATTACACCCTGCTGCTTTTGAGATTTGACAAATTCTAATAAAGTCTCTCATCAATCATTACTACGAATCTGATTTGTGACCGAATTAGTTAATCCAAATTAACCTGTATTGAGCTTGATTTGGACAATACTTAAATTGAGTCATTCGAATTGAAAGTTAGGTTCTGGTTCATTTAGAGTTAAAAAATTTTCAACTTAGGTTGGATCTGAGTTAATTTTTTAACTCGTCCATTCCGACTCCTAAGGGAGGGTGATGTATTATTTATAACTGGGTTTAACCCAATTTTTCAATATCGGGTTGAGTCAAGTTGGGTCAAATATTATCCAATTGATTTTTTTTTTCCCAATCTCAATCCAGGTATTGTTGATTCCAGTCTAAGTATTATTTTTTGGAGATTCGAATTGAGTTCGAATTAACTTACCGAAGTTGCACTCTAACATATAAATATCCAAAGGTCCCAAGTTGGTGTTGGTCCTGTAAGGGTCCATTATAATGATGTACGAGAGAGGCCCAGACATAATCAAAAGCATTTCTTTATCTTTGGGTGGGCTTATAATGGCGGGCTTTTGAAATGGGTGGATTCAAATAACAATTTAAGACCACTTATGAATTGTTTAGTTCGGGGTGTAACAACTTATGAATTTGATTTTAATTTAATTAACCATTTTATCCTGTCTTTGGCTCAAAGGTCGGATAAGGTGTGAGTTCATTAGTATAATGCTAATCCGATGTTTGGAATGTATTGATGCATAATATTAAGTTGAAAATACTAAAACCACCCTTGTCTCCAATTACATTTAAAATCAAGTCGGAGATAATCTTTACATTCTCAACCATATACCAGGATGGAATTAATATCACTTCTTACAAAGGATTGATTTACAGTGTATATGTTGTTATTTGACACTGTAACATCAAATCAATATCATTTCTAGTCCAAACAGTAGTGGAGTACCTTAAACAATAAGAACAGGCTATGAGTATGGGTAACTTGAATATGAATATAGTTGTTTGGATTAACGAGTTGTTGGTCTAGTGAGTAAGAATTTTGTTTTTCTTTCTTGATGTTTGGGTTCGAGTCTTCATAACTACGACAAAATTTTGATTTTCTTACTTGATGCTTGGGTTCAAGTCTCCATGGCTGTAACAGCTCGTTGGGGATAAATCTATTCTTCAGCGTCCACAGCATGCGGTAGAACTTTAGTTTAGCCTTCGACGTAGGTGCGGTGGGATTCCCTATAGATAGTTGTGTGGTGCTGAGGGATAATACTCCTAGACAGATATGTGTAGTGCCCTCTTTGCATATCCATTTTATATACAAAATATATATATAATTATTTGGTTTCCCCCGAGAGCAGGTTTTGTTTAAGGTGAAATTTGATGCAGTAGGGTTTTGATTTCTAAAGGGGTTATTAGGGTGGGGTATTGTAATAAGGGATGAATTTGGGTTGATTATTGTTAGGATGTCAAAGAAGATAAGATCTTTGTATGAGGTGCAAATTAGAGAGACTATCGTTATAAGAGAAGTTGTGTTATTTGCTAGGCAGATGGAGTGACGAAATCATATTGGAAGTGGACTCATCTACGGTAATGAAGAGGATAGTCAGACACTAATGAGGATTTCTCTCCATTGGGCTCTATTATAGCAAATGTTATGTTCTTTTTACATAGTTTTAGTTATTTTTTTGTATCTACAATTAGACGAATTGAAAATTGTGTAGTGCACTAAATTGCTAGAAACGTCAGATTCTTTAAACACTTCAGTGTATTAGATGTATAGGCGAATTTCATTCTTACGTATCGAGAATTTGTTTCATCGACTCAAGACGTCCAGAGACCTTATACAATAATCTTTTCATTATGCCAAAAATGTATCCTCATTATTTTTTGTTATAAAAAATCTAAAAAAAATCAATGGCTGGCCTTTCTCTTTCTAGAGAGGTAAAACTCCACCAGGTAAAGACATGTATTTTTCTTTCTTTTTTCTTTTTTTAATGTTTGATCTAAAGTAAAGACATTGTTAGAGGTAGCAAAATTAACTTGTTACGAGAAAGAGTTGAATGGGCAGACAAAAATTATTAGAAGAATATATTAAAAGAAGAAATATTGAAATTTAGAGGGCATCTCATATACTACTTCAACTGATAAGTCAAAATAATTTTAAAATTTTTTAATCAATAAAATAATACTTTGTAAATAATTTGGCATACCAAAATTAATCTGTCAAATTTAATTTTATCAACTAGATATTTGACATATTATTTAGAGAAAAAATAACTGCCAAATACCACCTATCTATACTACTAATAAAAGGAAATTAATGAGACCAATTTTGATTTCCTATTCTACCCCTACTTAATCATATAACAACAATTATATCCTATTTACCACTTTAACTCTTACACCTATTACTTTCTAAAAATAAATATTTGTAATTACATATGCAATAAATATATAGTATTACCTATAAGAAGGCCTTTCATATTCATAACATTGGAGAAAATTAAAAAATAATATAAGACTAACATGCTCGCCTTTCCAAACAATAGAAAAATCTTCTCTCTTTAAATAATAGAAGTTACTGATATTTTTGTTTTTCTCTATAGCTTCCACAACTCCCTCCATTTTTGAATTTTGCTTTTATTTTTTCCTTTGCAAGTTATCATGAATCTTATGAAAGTAGGACTTGTAAACGATATTGAAGATGATAAGTTCAAAGTGCAATAACATTTGGTTGTGTTATGTGATTCTTTTTTAGTATTATGCTCGGTTTGGTATGATGGAAAAATGAAATGATGAAAAATTGGAGGGATAAATAAAACATCATGTTTGGTAAGGAAGGAAAATAGGAATGATGGAAAAATATATGGATTAACTTTTCTTTCAACTCAGCAAAATCAATCCCTCCAAAATTGAAAGGAAAGTAGATGAAAAGTTAATTATTTGTGTTAAGATGTA